AGCTCTTCATTTCTCCCCTCCCTTTTTCCTTCTACAATCTTTCATTGAATACATGTTTTGTTCTAGGTGCTATCCTGAGCTCTGGCAATGTAACAGTGAACGAGACAGACATAGCATCTACCCTAATGAAGCTTATAGTCTTGTAGTCCAGATAATAACGAAATGATCACCTAAGTTTTATAATGGATAACACCAACAAAGTAAGTGTTGTGAGTGCCATGACGTCTGATGTATTCTGAGGGATCAAGGAAGGCTTCCTTGTGAAAATGGCATTTTAGCTGAGCTCCAAAGGATGAGTTGGCATTACCAAGTTAGAAAGATGGGATGAAAGAAAGGGTGTGTCTTAAACAAAGGTAGAAGAACAAGCAAAGGCCCTATGGTGGTAAGGAGGTAGTATGTTACAATGTGCCAAGGTCTGTATACATCTGCCATTTTAATTTTCTCAACAATCCTTTCTTCAAATTAGCTAAGACCCCCCACCCCCATTTTACATATGAGAAAACTAAAGCACAGAGGGTTAGCTGCATAACCTTGTGTAAGTGTTAGAGCTAGAATTTATAGTAAGGAATGAGTGCTTCTAAGGTAGTGGTTCTCATTCGAACCCCTTCCCCTGGGCACGTCTGGCAATTTCTGGAAGCAATTTTAGTTGTCACAACTTGGGTGGGGGTGTACTACTTAGTTGAGGCCAGGGATGGTGCTAAACATCCTACAATACGCAGGACAAATGTTACAATAAACAATTTTCTGACCCCCAAATTTAATAGTACCAAGATTAAAAAGCCCTGGTACTACTGAAATTAGGGTTAAACCCAAACTCTTAACCCTTCCACAGATCTGACTCCCTCCATGGAGGCTTCTCAGTCCTTTGTGCAAATAGATTTTTGATCAGTCAGCTCCAATTATCCATACATGCCCAGTAGTGGACACAAATTAGACTTAAGCAGGAAACTCTGCTACTTAGCATTTCTCTCAAGAATCCACACCAGCTCTGTATTATCAGTTCCATATCACAGATGAAGAAACAGAAGTTAAATAACATGCCTCAAGTGTCAGAAACCAAAGTGACACAGCAATTGAGTCCAGCTCTTTTAAAATTGAATCGGATATCATTTTTCCTTCGTAAGGCAGCCCTTCAAAGAACAAATGCATATCCTCACCTTGCTCGGGTAAAAGTGGCAAAGGCTGGAGATGCAAATCTGGATCTAGGCTACAGGAGTGCTTTGAAGAGTTTGTCAGGTTTAGTGTCTGCATTATTTTTTTAGGAGGTTGAAAACTGGCACAGTGTTATTGAGATTGAATTCTTCTCTTGCTAGGCTAAAAGCACACCAGACACACAATCTGCTGTTTGTGTAGAGAATGTGTCAGGAGAGAAAAGAAAAGCACCCACATGTGAGCATCTGCTGGAAAAATCCATTTCACCATTAACCATACAATTGAGTGAGAAAAACATCTGTGCCTGCTACTGCAGATGTAATCATAAAACCCAAATGTAGCAATGGAACCAACTAGAAGAAGGGCAGAGGACAAGAAACGGGCAAAATACAAAGCTTTAGTGTCAAAAAGGAATGGGTCTGTGGCTGGGCTCTTGCTCTGAATACTCTTGCCTTCTCCTTGCAAACATGAAAGTATCTGTAGGTAACAGTAAGATCTTAAGCAGACAAATTATACAAGGCAGCTTTGAGGAAGCAGTAAACAAGGCAGAGGAATTCCAGAGACTGCGTATCAACAGCAAAAAATATACTGAAATATATGTTGGCGGTGTTTCAATGTTTAGGCAGATCTAAGGTAAACTTAGAATTGTGGAACTAGATAATGTAGAAAAAGTCAAAGCTGAAGGGCCCTCAGAGATCAACTAGTTCAATCTCTGGTCTTACTCATGAGAAAACTGAGATCCAAAGAGGTATGTGACTGCCCACGGTCACATAGTTAGTTAGTGGCAGATGATTTGGGGCTGTTCTGAGGGAAATACTTTTTTTTTTTTTCAGACTGGCAAGAAGAGGAACATTTCATAAAACTTTACAAATAGCCAAGAACATCAACTTGAAAGCATAACTGTGTTATAGCAATATAAATTTATTCTTTGATTCTGGGAGCCAAAAGCCAATGCTGATGACCCATCTTTGCCCAAAGTGCTGAGGTGTAATTCTGCCACTCAGAGTAGAATGGAAACACCGACTAGAGCTCAGCAAGTGACACTGCACACCTGCTTTGAAAACAGATCTTAAAGGTAAGCATGGCTCTGCTTTTGCTGGCCTGCCAGTTTTAAAGTACCACACAACTTTAATCTGAAGGTGGGAAGAAAGGGAAACCAGCCAGGCCCATGGCACCCCAGGCCACACTCCATTTATTGGCCTACGAAGAAATCTGTACCCAAGGAATCAAGAAGCCTGGCTTTAGCTCCTTGCTCTGCCTAGAACTAGCCAAATGACCTTGAGACAAATACAGAACACTGGACTTGAGCCCTCCAAAACCTTTTCTCCTTGAGAGAAGGGGATAAGAAGAAACTAAAGGAAAGGAGAAAATGGAGAGATGTATAGAAAGAGATGGAGTAAGAAGCAGGGTTGCCCTCTCTCCCTTCCCCATGCCCTCAGTTAACAGCATAACTAGTAGCGTGTTATGAAGCCCAGACAATGCTCTCTGAAATTCAGCCTTGGTTGCATCATTCATTTGTGGCCATTTATTTGATGGCCATTTATGGCCATCTTCTTTTGTGAAATATCTGTTTAAATCTTTGCCCACTTTTATTGGTTGGCTGTTTCCTTAATAATGATTTGAAAGAGGCATTTATGTATTCTGGGTACAAGTACCTTTTCTGATAAAAGTGCTGTGAATATTTTCTCCTATTCCAAGGTTTGCTTTTCATTTTCTCAAAAAAATATCTTTCAATCAGCAAAAATTTTTCATTTAAATAACAAATTTATCATTTTCTTATACTTTTGTGCCCTACAAACTTTTACCTACCTCAAAGTCACAAAGATTTTCTCCTATTTTTGTCTAAATATTTCAGAGTTGGGGTTTTATATTTAGGTCCATTTAGAATCCATTTACATTTATTATCCATTTTGAGCTGATTTTTGTGGATGGCATAAGGTAGAAGTTGATGTTCACATTTTTCCATATTGATATCCAGATGATCTAGCACTATTTGTTGAAAAGACTATTTTTCCTTTCACTAAATTGTTTTGGCACCTTTGATCAATTGATCATATACGTATGCCATATTTCATTTGTTAGCAGACCTAGCCTTCAAGGACAGTACAAAGGACATGAATCTACACATACATTTTCACTAATTCCAACTCAGTTGGGCTCAACTCATGAAGTCGGACTGTCTAGGACTTCACAGTTCAGCCCAGGGGTAAAGGAGGGTGGAAGGAGGGAGGCCACGTAGGATAGTAATTATAACAAACATACAGTGATTGGGACAATGCTTTTCTGCATTTCATATGAATTACATCACTGATCCTTCAAAACAACCCTGTGAAAAAGCAATTAATATGATCCCCGTGATTCAAAGTGAAGCTCTGAGAAGTAACTAACTTGTCTAAAGTCACACAGAACGAGAGGAGCTGGTATCTAAACCTAGACTCTGTGATGCCAGAGTTGTGCTTTGAATCATTGTTTCTATTGTTCCTTGTAACTCCCTTTTACCCTTATTTCCATAATGCTCTGTGATGGCTCTCACCTGAAACAATCCCTTACCGTTCCATCTGTTGAAGGCTAAAAAAAAAATAGTTAATATTTGTGAAATACTGAAGGAGTCCATCTCTTTACATACATTAACTCATTCCATCCCCCCAATAGGCCCTTACATACTATACACTATTGTCATCTCCATTTAAAAAATTTAGAAACTCAGGCTCAGTGAGTTTATGTAACTTACTCTAGATCATGCAGTTATTAAATAGCAAAGCCAGGATCTAAAGCCAGGTTTACCTGCCCCCAAATCTCTTGCTCTTAACCACTACAATATGCCACCATCTAGACTCCAGGTAGATTGCCCTTGCATGTTTGCACAGGGTCAGTTAGGGACACCGCTCAATCGCTAATATGCTGTCACAGGCCACAACACATTGAAAAAAATGGTACTCGCCCTTGTCTTGTCAGCACACGATGGCTACTGTGTTTTCTCAATTCTATCCTGTATCCTCTTCTACATTTTATCCCCCAAAGCCATGAGGGAAAACGAGCATTTCAGAAGCTCCCATAGCAAACTTAGTATTTCCACGAAATACTAAGTCAGTAAGCATTGCTTGAGATCCTACTATGTCCTCCTTGCAACACAACAATATAGGCAACACAACAATATGTCTCCGTGGATGCAAGAACAATGCAACTATGATACCAATTCCCATTTTACAAATGTAAAAATATAGAAGCCTTATAATATGGAAGCCTTCAGAAGATCAAAGGCTTCCATATTATAAAGTGCCCTATTTGCCCTATTCTGTCTTGAGCTTCGAGAAGAACAATATATGCAAAACGAGCAGCTTATTATCTGTGGCGAAGTGTCTGTCATTGCTCATGTGATGGGCCTTGTCCAATCATTTGGTAGTGGAACAGTCTAAAACTTGGACGACTGTGATTGGCTGAGGGGCATAAGCCCGCCTCCAGTGTGACGTGTCAGCCTATGGATATCAGTTGCCGGGGAAACCCGGCTTTACTAATATGGCGGTTGGAGCGGCGGCGGTGAGCACACGTCCGCTGCTGGAAAGAACTGGACTCTCGTTTCAGGCCAGTATCAGAAAAGCTAAGTTTTCTGTGTAGTAAGGATCAGAAGATCTGATCCTTATTACAGAATCTTGTGTTGTGTCTCCCACCTCAGATATCCAGACCATCCTAGACGATCTGTAAGTTTCAATCTGGGAAAACGCTAGTTCTTGGAAGAGTAAGAAAGAAGAGGACTCTTGGTTGAAATAAAAAAGAGTTGACTGAGTTCCAGAAAGCAGGGTTCTCAAACTCGTGGACAACAATCTGCAGTAGAAGACAATTTCGAAAAACCAACTGGAAGCAATATGCAGAGAAGTAAGATGAGAGGAGCCTCCTCCGGAAGGAAGACCGCTGGTCCACAGCAGAGGAATCTGGATCCGGCCCCTCCAGGCAGATGGGAGGATCGCTCCTCAGAGAACCCCGCTTCAGGATCTGTGAGGAAGACAAGGAAGAATAAACAGAAAACTCCCGGAAACGGAGATGGCGGCAGTACCAGTGAAGCCCCTCGGCCACTGCACGCACTTCGGAAGAAAAGGGCCCAGGCTGACCCCACTGTTGAAAACAAGGAGGCTTTAAACAATAGTGTGGAAGTTAAAGTGAATATTCCTGACGAGCTAAAACCATGGCTTGTTGAGGACTCGGATTTAGTTACCAGGCAGAAGCAGCTGTTTCAACTCCCTGCTAAGAAAAATATCGATGCAATTCTGGAAGAGTATGCAAATTACAAGAAATCACAAGCAAATGTCGATAATATGAAATATGCAGTGGATGATGTCGTGGCAGGAATAAAAGAATAATTTATCTTGCTGTTTTTGAGAGGCCCCAGTATGCCGAAATCCGCATGGCTCACCCAGATGCGCTGATGACCCAGGTTTATGGAGCGCCACACCTACTGAGATTATTCGTAAAAATCGGAGCAACGTTGGCATATATGTCCCTTGATGAGAAGAGCCTTGCATTATCGTTGGGCTACTTACATGATTTCCTGCAGTATCTGGTAAAGAACGCTGCATCTCTGTTTACTACCAGTGATTACAAAGTGGCTTCCGTTGAGTACCGCCTCAAAGCCCTGTGAGGGTCTACTGACCCTCTCATTGTTATGTCTGGTATCTATAAACACTCTTTTTGCTCTTAGTCTTTGTCTTGTATGACTTGTTCTTTATAATTGTTAATGTATAACGGCTTATGTTTCAGTTTATTTTGTGTTGTTTTAAGCAGAAAATAAAAGGAGTGCAAGCTCCTTTTCTCATTTTAAAGTTGCTATCAGTGTATGCAGTAATTAGACAAAGAAGAAACTTTAAGTAGAACATTTTCTTTCCTAGTTGACCACATTGCTTGAATGCTGGTGGTTCTATCCGTTTGACACTGCACAATTTTCTAATTATGTGTTAATGCTACATGACAAAATGCCCTGATTCCTATTGCCAGTTGTTCAACTTAATGTATATACCCAAAAAACCATGCATTTGTGCTCTTGTTTATCATGCTTGAAGTAAAACAGCCCATCCTCTGCAAGTCCATCTATGTTGTTCCTTAGGCATTCTAACTTTGCTCAAATTGTTGAAGGATGGTGGTTTGTTTCATGGTTTATGTATTTGAGTCTAATGCAGGTTCTAACATGATAGAGGCAATGCATTATTGTGTAGCCACGGTATTCTGGAGAAGTTGCTACTTGAGGAATTGTATTTCAGATCTTGAATAAAATTTGTTTCTAAATTTCAAAGCAAAAAATAAAAACAATCAGCTTATCATTTTGATAAGCTAGTATGATCTAACCTAAGAACAAATAAACTATTCATGATTTTCCTAATTATCTTATGTTTAATCTTTATAGTCTTTAAAAGCTTTCACCAGCACTCTCTTGTTTTTTTTTTCACAACCTTGCAAGATAAGCAGAGATCCTATTATCCCCATCTTACTGATAAAGAAACTGAATGTCACCTGGAGATAAGTGACTTGTCCAAGTTCACATAGCTAGTAAGCGGCGGAGCTAAGATTAAATTCTAGGTTCTCTGATAGCCTGCAACTAATTTTCAAATTAAAAGCCACTAATATTACAATCATTGTCTCATAATATTATGCCTTAGGATGTCCAGATGGAGCATATAGCATCACCAAGGTCTCTAAATATTTTCTTTAATAATTATTTTCACAAATTACAAGCATCCAGTATCATTCTCTGCACCTCTAGGATAGCGACAGCTGCTCCATGACCTTTCAAGTGATGTCACTTTAGCAGGCTTTTAAAACAGACTGGGCTAAAGAAAAAGATTTCTGAGAGAAAGAACATGTTACCTTGAAGATTAATCAATTATGCGAATGGTTTCACTGCCTGTTATACCATGGATTATGCTTTCATTTTTCATATTAATGTTCTTTATGTTTTTCAATTAGTCATGGCAAATTACCTGTCCTTCACCTTGGCAAGGGCAGCTCAGTGGGCCTCAGTGGAGTATTTTCCAAGTTCTGTCGGGTGAATTCCTGCTCAAATTCTTCTTGAGGCATTAATATGTAATTTTTTGAATGAATGAATGTGTACCATTTGACACCATCTCATTCATGTAGGAAATTACCTATTGACTAAAGAATTGGAAAAAGTTGTCTTTCCTTTTTTGCAATGGTGACTTGCAAAAAAATAATTTTAACTTAAATATTAAAATGGAATTGAAACATTAAAGAAAATTAAAATTCATTCAATACTTCTTAGTCATTCTAACAGAGAGGGTTTGTGGTATGAGGTACACAAAATAGCAGTTACTCCAAAATCCATGCCCACCTCCATTTTCCCTTGCCATTTCCTGGTGAAGTGCTTGCCCCTCCTCTGCACTCCATCCTACTGCCCCCATAATTTCCATACCATAATACCCAACTAGCTGCACTTTAATAGCCTGTTTACTGCCCTTCTCCACTAAGCATGTGAGATCTTCTAGGATAGGAATAATGTCTTAAACAGGACAGAATCTATCTCCACCTCTTAGTATACTGCAAAGCACAGAAGTAAATGCTTAGTAAATGATGAGTGAATGAAGCCATTTGCCTTTGGAAAACATGAGTATATCCTTCTTAGCTGCAGCCTTATCTCACAAATATAACCTTTATATTGCATTCCCATAATTCTCTCTGGGTAGGAAAACCGAATAACTTCTCTGCCCTTGAGGATCTCACAGTCAAGCTCTGACAAACGTTAACTTTTTAAAGGTAGCCTCTCATCAGAGTACTTTGTCAGGAGCTGCCATTTTACTTTTCCTTTGATGTGTGGCATGGCACTTAAGATTAGCAAGCTCCTTCAAACACTACTATAAAGGTATCTCAGCAATCAAATATTTTGTTCCCATAGGCTGGTCAGGTCTTTTGAAAGTCATCTGCATATGGTGGGAGTTAGGGGGGAACCCTATACTTCCTCAAACAGCCTGGCTTTAAAATTTTTAGTTGGGGGAGGGCACTATAGAAACTCCAACCCAAGACCTACCCACAATTATCTCTTCTTTCCACCAGAGAATAATTTAAATTTTTTACACTTCAATTCCTTTCCTAGTGTCATTTTATGACTTTAGGGAAGGGAGGACAGTGCCTCTGTGGACTCTGATTCTCTCTAAAAACTCTGAGTTATTATTAAATCAATATCTTGACTATTGCAGTCCCTTATTATTATATTAATAATTATTACAGTCACCAGGGTGGAGAGCAATAAAAGAAAATGCTATTATTTGTTCAAAGTTTAGGTTAATTAAGTCCAAGAAATGATATAAAAGTAGGTCTGAATATACCTCTAATTTTTATGCATTGTGCAAATAAATGAATGCAAATAATATCCACTGAGTGAATGTTTACTTGAGTTACAGCTAACCTACAAAAGACCTGAAAAAGCCTAAGAAGTATCATTCCAGAGAAGTCTTTACATAATAATTGCTGCTAACGGAGTAGCATTTAGAAACCTTCAGAAGGATAATAGTAGAGTCAAAGAGTCCTAAGAAGTTTGAGAAAGTGCTTGATATAGTACAATGTAGGATTAGTGCAATTTAGTATAATGTAGGTACAGTGTAGGATTTTTTGCTCTTTTCCGAAGCATTCCAGGAAACAGAAATGCCATATAATCTTTGATTACCCATTCAGGCGACTTAACACATCAACATACAAAAAGTTTCTGCCTATAATTAAGGAAAACTTTTCCTGTTTTGATGTTTCAGTTCCTTGTATTGTGACGTTCTGCTGCAAAGAGAAACACTAATCCCTACTCCTTTTGTAAAAATGTTTCATGCCCTTTAAAACCATAAAGATGATTCTGGTCCTTATAATCTCCATGCTACATGAAATCTAGTTTTCATTCTCAGTCTAATTTTTCTTCTTTCAGTCCTGTTTAAGGACCAAAACAGGAACAGTTCCAGAATCTACTTTCTCTATTCCTGGTTATCAGAACTACTGGAGACAGATAAAAACGGGATCCTGCAACCCACAATGTCATTATATCATGTCCACAATTGCCTATGGGTAATGGTTTGGTTAAAAAAAAAAAAAAGATATTCAAATTGGCGCATCAGCCTGGGATTAGCCATTTGCCACAGATAATTACGAATGGGTAATTCACAGTCAGATAGTTGAGAATTCTTAAATACATAATTTTTTGTTAGGAGCCAAAAGTAAAATTTCTATGATATCTATGATCGTGTGTGTGTGTGTGTGTGTGTGTGTGTGTGTGTGTGTGTGTGTGTGTGTGTGTCAGAGAGAGAGAGAGAGAGAGAGAGAGATTAAGCTTTAGAACTTAGCAGACACGCAAATTTTGTGGCATTAACTCTGAAGTGGACAACTTAAAAAACAAATGACAAGAAAATAAAGGCAGCTTATTTAGAGATATAAATTTGATGGCAAAAATAGCGTTTTCAAATTCCTAAATAAAGGCAAATCACTATCAGTCAAAATTTCTACCAGACAGAAAGTTCAATAGTATAATGGCTTTAGAACTTAGCAGACACGCAAATTTTGTGGCATTAACTCTGAAGTGGACAACTTAAAAAACAAATGACAAGAAAATAAAGGCAGCTTATTTAGAGATATAAATTTGATGGCAAAAATAGCGTTTTCAAATTCCTAAATAAAGGCAAATCACTATCAGTCAAAATTTCTACCAGACAGAAAGTTCAATAGTATAATGCAGATGTGGTAAGAGTGGAAGAGGGAACTATGGTTTATATTTTGTTTAATGTTGACTAATTCTCTTAATCTCTATCATCTTATAGTAAACACCTCTTGGAGTGATGCCCCAGCTTACAATTCTCCTTCTGCTAAAAATGGCCCCAGTATGCAGGAGTAATAGGCCACCAGTGGTCATATTAATACTATGGGATCCTGTTCTCTTGGACACAGTTGTTGATCCAGGGTTGGTGGGCACAAGATTCGAACCAAGTAAATGAGATCCATCCTTCCTTCCTTCCTTCCTTCCTTCCTTCCTTCCTTCCTTCCTTCCTCCCTTCCTTCCTTCCTCCCTCCCTTCCTTCCTTTTC